TGAGCTGCATAATGGTGTGTGTGTGTGTGTGTGTGTGTGTGTGTGTGTGTGTACAGTATGTAAAATATTTGTAAGCACTTTCAATACAAAGTAAATAAGAAAAAATCATTTATTTATTGTATAAGTCAACTTTCACATTGACGACAAAAGTTAATTTTATGAATCCTAATGAGTAGAAAACTAAGCTTTGGAATTCCAGTAGAGGCACAGAATCTGTGCGCACCTGGATACACACACATGCAACTCCCTGCATGCCTGACCCTAAATTATTCATGGCTTGTTCAGCCTCGTTGACCCTCATACTTGGAAGAGATTTCCCATGTCATCTAATTCAGTGATTCATCTGAAGCTTGTCTGTAGCCTCCCCTCTGGGTGGTCATTCTACTTTTGTGAACAAAAGTCCCCTGGTGACCAGAATATGTTGTGATGTTCTGAGGAAGTCCTTTCTCTCTTGGGAGTCCATCCCTAGGCTAAAATCTGTCTTTGTCCATTCATTGTTCTTATTTGTAACCCCGGAGGTCTTGCAGTTAAATGGGGGAAGAATTGTCTTGCTGTTTACCCTGAACATCATGCTTTATCTTGTATATCCATGTCCAACGAAAGCAGGCATACTTTCAGGGATATTCATCTTGATATTTTTCTCCCCCTTTAATTAATCACAATGCATCTTCCTATCAGGAACTAGATTTTCTCATGAATCTCGATATTTTCCTCCAGGAATGAAAAGGGATATTCTGAATATAACTGTTGAGTACCTTCTGAGCATCCTTTCCTCCTCCCCATACTCTAAGGTTAAACACTCCCTGTGTTCCCAGCAGTGAGCCTTTTCCTGTTGTCAATATGTACAAAGATCCACAAGTCTGTAATCCAGTCAGTCATTCAACACCTAGTTATTGATCATTCTCTATGTGCTGGCAATGTTTCAGGTATCCAGATGATAAGCAAAGACAGATGTGTTATCCACCTGCCAGGGTTTTCACTCTATTAAGGTTATTAATCACGTATTTACATAAGTAAATGTAGAATTGCAACTGTGATGGGTCTGTGAGGTAAAGGTACATGGTGTTATGAAAACATAACATAGGGAGTCATCAATGTCAGAGAAGCCTTTCCTGAAGAAGTGACCACTGAGCAGAGGACAAATAAAATGGAAATACACTAGGAAAAAAGGAGGATAAATGTCATTTCAGAAAGGGGAAAGAGCATGAGCAAGGCTTTATGACAGGAAGGCAAAATAAAAATACCACTTTCAAAGATCAGAAAGAAGGCCAGTGTCATTGGAGTGGAGAAGACAAAGAGCAAAGCAACATGAGAGGAGACTAGAGAGACAAGAAAGGGCCAGCTTATGCATGGGAGAAATGTTGCCATTAACTTGGGGAGTGACTTGAAGCTAGAGTTGGCTTCAAATGCTTGTGAAAGAGTATTCCTTGGAAAGTAACTGAGCAAACAAACTAACAATGAGAAAGCAGGTTTTGAGAGAGCTCTGTTTAAATTAGTAACTTTGAATTGGGAATGCTGCATCAAGGTCCAGGGTACGATTCATGGAGGAGGTTGTTGTGGAAGATGAACGGGTCAATGGATTGGCTAGGCGCAGGGTGGGTCACTCTCGTGGATGTTGAAATCACACAGGGTTAGAGCGAACCTTGAGGTTAAGATGAAAATCCTAACTCAGTGCCAGATGCTTTGATGAATATGAGTGACCAGGAGGTCACAAATTATTGAGAACTGACCATAGTTGCCATGGTTCTATGACAACTTGTATAATTTCTCTGTGGGGAATTATGTCTTCTAAAGGTGAATGTTAATGCTGATGGTCATTGCAACTGTGTGTGGTTGCAGTATTTATTAGTTTTATATAGCCCTATAATTTTATGATTTAAATACTTATTCAACATACCTAAATTTGGAGAAGAATTTTATGAGATGAGAAAAAATAAGATAAAACTGAGACATAAATCTAGAAAGGCCCCGTGGGGTCATTGGAATGTGTAACACTAAGCTAAGGTGCTGGTGTTTATTCTGTGTTGGAGAGTCAACAAAGGCTGCCTCTGTTTTGTGTACGGTTGAGGTGTAATGCTAACTATGCTGTAGAAAGAATCACTTGAAAGTGGCTTGCAGGATAGATTGGAGAAGGGAAGGAAGACCAAAAGAGCACAGTTGTCAGCTACAGTTGTCTGGGTCAGGGCTGATCAGACCTTGAAAGAAATCAATGGGAAAGGGAGGAAAAGAAGGCGAGGTGGAAAATAGTTCAGAGGGAAAATGCCTTTAGGACTCGGTTACTAGCAGGGAAGGCAGTCAAACATGGCAGTAACTAGGAGAGAGGTAAAGCCATAGACAGAAACCAGAAAGCCAGGGGCGACATTTGTTTTAGGTAGGAGCATGTATTGCATTTCTGGTGCTGAAGCATATCAAAGGGAAGTATCCAGGCAATTATAAATGTAGGTGTTAAATTCAGGGAAGAGATGGACAGAAAAGGCCTTCTATGGTTAAGCCCCTAACAGCAAATGCCCATCGTGGCCTCCTTCTCCTTTTTTTTTTTCTTTTTTCTTTTTTTTTTGAGATAGAGTCTTGCTCTGTGCCCAGGCTGGAGTGCAGTGGTACAAACTCAGCTCACTGCAACCGCTGCCTCCCAAGTTCAAGCAATTCCCTGCCTCAGCCTCCCAAGTAGCTGGGATTACAGGTGCTCGCCACCATGTTCAGCTAATTTTTGTATTTTTAGTAGAGATGGGGTTTCACCATCTTGGCCAAGCTGGTCTTGAACTCCTGACCTCATGATCCTCCCACCTCAGCCTTTCAAAGGGCTGGAGTTACAGGTGTGAGCCACCGCACCTGGCCACCTCCTTCCTTCTTTGCAGCTCACCCGTACTCTCATCCTGCTTTCCTCTCCACTTCATTTTTCCTAACCTTTCCCATTGATTCCTCGGGACTCACAACTTATTTCTGAGGATAATGTCTCCTTGGTTCCCCATGTTACAACTCTGTTCCTCAAATATTCTATTATTTCCTGCAAACCTCACACTTCTTTCTTGCTTAGTCCTCTTTATCTGTGTCCACATACCCCTAATACACTTGTTATGCTGCATTTTGTTTGCCTCTTTACTTGTCTATTTCCTCCCCTAGACTTTGGGCTTTTAGAGGACAGGGACTCAATAAAAGTATGACATAGCTACTTATGTGGGGTTCAGTAATACTTTTTAACTTTAAAGAAAATTTAAAGGTTTTACATTTTGATGCGTTGATTTAAAGAAAACGAATAGGATTAAACAATTCATAACAAATGAACAATCCCAAATGTGATGGACATTACAAAGGTTCAAGAACTTATGCACATTTTCTATATCACAGCCATTGCCTCTAAGAAAAATGAAGCTTGGCTCTGATTTGTTTTGTCCCCTTTTCTAACGCACTCTCTAGCAAAGCCTGTAGAAACCTAATCAGCAAAGCAACACATATTCTTGGAAATGGGGACAGTATCTGTCTTTTTCCTGTCCTCTCACTCATTTTTTTCTGAAGACCTACTGAGTCCTGAACTATCAGTTTGAACTACTGGAATACATATTTGCCCTCCAATAAAACTGGGTCTTTTAAGTCTTGGCTCTCTCCATTTCTGCAACATCTCGCTCTTTCTGCATCTGTATGGACAATATCCCAGGGGACTCTGGACAAGAAGATATCTTCATAGACAAGCCATATAAAGAAAAAAAGAGGGCTGAGTTTAGGATGCTGGGAATGGCACACATTTAATGAATGTTGCTAGAAAGAAGCCAGGAAAGAATTGGTCAAACAGGAAGAAGAAGACGTGGAAGAAGGCAGGGTTGAAAAATTCAGGAGGAAAAGCCACACACTCATAAAGACAGAAGTAGATTGATGGTTACCAGGGGCTTTGGGTGACAGATTGGGGAGTGACCATTAATGGGTACAGAGTTTTGTTATGGGATGATAAAAATATTCTGGAATTAGTGATGATGGCAAGACTTTACAAATATGGTACAAACCACTGAATTGTAAGCTGTCAAACAATAAGTAATAAAGTTAAAAAAAATTAAAATACGTGAGAGGAGAATAAAACATAAACAACTAGTCAAACACATCTAACACTAAACATATCTAACAATTTAGCTTGAAGATAAATAGAAAGGTGATGGGATTCGGTGATTAGGAAGCCAGTGGTGAGCTCAAAGAGAGTAGTTTCAGTAGCATAGTTACTCCTATCTCTTCTTCTTCCTGCTCCATAAATATATACATTGATAGGATTATTCCTTCACATACCATCACTATTGGCAGAATGTTTGATGATTCTGTGGGTCCAGGAATATGTTTGGTTTAGATCAGCTAAGGTGACATTCTGAATGTGTTTTGGAGACTCTGAGCATGTACGCTTCTGCTCCCTGGGACAAAGCATAAGACTGTCATTCTTGCTGCCCTTCTAAAACCAAACCTGTACAACAAGACCTGATTAGCTCCTGCTGTCTCAATTACAATTACAAGCATCAGCTCTGATGGCCCCAAGTGAAACAGGAAATACCCTCTTTGAATTCTGACAATAGGTTTCTGTGGTATGGTCCATTGGTGGAGTGCTGCTGGCCTTGTGATGGGCAGAACTGACCCTGGGCTAACTATATGTTTTCTCTGAGACACATGTACTTTTTGTTTTAAGCTGAGGATAATAAACTTTAATCTGACCACTTCTTACAAGAAAACAATACGAAAGTACATTGTAATCTATTAAGCATATATAAATATGTTTTTAATTGACATTGTTATAAGATTAGAGACACAATTAAATTATTTTTAAACTCTGTACTGGTGTAGGACCAGCCCCCTTAATGCCTGTGTGTAGGATCACAGGCTTTATATCCATGTACATCTTACTGAGGCCTGTACTTATTGACTGAATTGAATATTGTTTAAATGAGAAAACTCCAGTTTCGTAGCGTGATTAACCTCTCTATTGCCTTCATCTTTCATTGTTCATTTGTTTTTTTCTGCTCTTCATCTAGGCTTTCCGAACGAGCCTGCTGCAGTCATTGCCCTCAGCACCATTAAGGAATGGCTTGCCAAGAATCACCATGAGGTAGGAGGAACGGCATAATCAGTGAACATTCAGGATAATGTAATTTGATGCTCAGTTCCCCCCAAAGAAGCACATAAATGTTATAAATATCAACTAAACCTAGTCAATGAGCCAAACCTAGCTGACCATTCATCACTTGGGTTACATGAGGGTTACATTAAATATTTTTCTGTAATTGATGGAATGCAGTAACTCTATTGATCTATTTGGTGAATTGAGCAGATTCATTTAGCCATCTAATTTTTTTTCCATCTGTGGATAGTACGGGTTATATGTGTGAAAAAGAGAACAGGATGGATTTCATTAAGAATAAGGAGTTTTCCTGTGCTATTTTCCTTAGAGCTAAGTTATCTTTGTTGACTTGAGGTTCCCGGTGTACAGTAATTGTTTGGTGTCTGTGTTCTTTGGATTTATAACTAATCACTTCCCTAAAGTCACGTCTGAGTGTGAGATTGAAGTGGGCTTGTATAATTGATCACAAAATCATTATGAGCAGGATTTCTTATGAAACTAAATGCCTTCATCAGAGTATTCATCATGTCTCCTATTCTGCTTACTTAATAAGATCTTTGCAATATGTTTAGTGATGAACGGGGGAATTACTCAAGTAAACAAAGCAACAAAATAACTAGAGACCATGGAGCTTTAAATTTCAGAGATTTGTTGATTTACATATTGTAATAGCTAGGAGGTTTCAGACAATTCACAATCTTACGCATTTTTCTTCTGATTTTGTTTTTCTCCTCAGTTATTCACATAAGGGCTATAAAAATTGTGTTTCATTTTATGGTGGACCATGAATTTAGCTTTTTTCCTTGGGTAGGAGATGAATTATTTGGAAATAATTAGATATGGAAACAGGTGACGGGGTTTTCAAAAGAGGGAGCACTTAGTACTTTTGTGTGTTTGAAGAAACAGCAGTGTCATTTTCTAATTATTGTAATTTCAGCATTTCTTGACCACATGGCCAAACCTATCCATTTTGGTGCTTGCCCTTTATTTTCCTCTTACTTTGAAATGTATAAATGTGGCGACTTCAATTTAAAGGATATCTTAAATTACCTCAAAGAAGCAGAAGAAAAACAAATAGCTAAAATATCCAGCTTACAAAACATGTCTTTGACATGTGTTATTTTCTTTTCACAAGAACCTTATGAAATCTCTAGGGTAGGTATATGTTATCTTCATCCGCATTCTCCCTCAAAAGGTTAAATGACATACTCAAGATTGGAAAGTCACAGAACCAAGAGACTGACCCAGTTGTCGTAACTCACTGGACATTCCTTATTGGAATGCCATGGAGGCCAAAAAGAGAAACTCAGTTCCTTTAAAAGCCAGTTATCTTCAATATATCACTTGGTCATGGTAAATGTTCCACACCTGGATTAACTGCTTTGCAAAAGTGTTGCATGAGTGAAAGTTGATAACCGAGCAAGTATATCAGTGCATATCCATCATTTCTACTAGAATAGTAATCCAAGGATATGCCCCACTGGAGGAAGTTTTCATGCGTCATCTTGGCATGTGATGGACAAAAGCATAAACTCATATCATTGAGGATGTAGTGATGAAGAATAAATATGTTGGTCACATGTACAGCTCATCGACAAATTCTACTCATTGATTCTCTCTAGCTAAATTATACAGAAAGTTATTTTCCATAGAAATTTTCTAATCTAGTGTTTTCTGCTTAATTCACTTGCCTACCCTGTCTTTGAGTCTATTCTTTTGCTTTCATATCCTTTTATTTTTCTGCTAATTTCTTGGGTCCATTGTAGAAAATATAGATAATTTGGACTGAGAAACTCAGTTATTGCTATTGCAACTTTAAACATATCCTGTGCTGATTCCCTTTTTAAAAAGACCTTGAGTTTCAATATGCTAATTTAAGCAAGTCCATTTGAACACATCAGGTTTTTCTAAATAAATGAATTCTAATTGGTAGGTCATAGATAAAAGCTAAATAAATTGATTAGCAGTATTTTGATTTATTTTTTGCTCTGTTAAAACAAACAGATTAGGTTAAGGACTTATAAAAAGTATTGCTTCTAATTGTTTTGTCTTCATTGCAGTATTATTTTGATGTTCTGATTGTTTAAGCTACTTATTCATTAATTCACTCATTTGATAAATATTTATTGAATCCCCCTAAGCACCAGATACTTTTTTATATTCCAGGGACAGAGCACTGAAAAACAAAATCCTTGCTTTGTCATATTGCTAGTCTAGAAAAAAAAATTATGTTTGCTTAACATAAATTAAGCAAATAAAAAATAAAGAAACAGGAAAGTTCAAAGAGTGCTTTACAAAATAAAACAGGGCAATTGGAGAATGTGTTTTTAGGTAGAGATTGTGCTGAGGACATAATCTTGGAATACAAATTTGTACAATGGGAAGGAGGGAGCCAAGCCATACGGAAGTCTTGAGGTAAAACATTCCTCACAGAGAGAAGCACAGGAGAAAATCCTGGAAGACAGAATGAGCTTACTGCTTGCTAGCAATGGTGAGACCCAATGTGGTTGAAGCAGAGAGATGAAAGAATGGCAGGAGACAAGTTTGGAGAAATAGACAGAGTCAGATTATAGGGTCTTGTGGTTCATAGAGAGACTTTGAATTTTATTCTAGTGGGTAGTTGTTGAAGCGTTTTGGGCAGGAGACTAACACATATAATTCACCTTTAAAAAACAAGCCTGGCTGCTCTTCCAAAAAGAACACCTGATATTTATAAGATACCAGAGTAAGAAATGGCAGATCAATTAAGAGGATGCTGCAGTAAATCCAGGCAGGACTTGAGGGTGCTCTGGAATACAGTGATGGTAGAAAAGGAGGTAACAAGCATCAAGTTGAGGGTGCACTTTGACAATACCACCAATAGGACTAGAGGATTGTTTTCTGTTAGGATGGGGTAGCTTATGCTGCAGTTACAAACTACCCCCAAATCTTGGTATCACAAACAGCAAAGGTGTGTTTCCTGCTCACACTGTTTGTACATCTTGAGTCAGCAGAGAGACCTGACTTACAAACGCAGGCTGACAGATAACTCTACCGTGGGAAGTATCATCTATCACATGACAAGAAAAGATAGATAATCAATTCCCTTGTAGAAATGTTTCTACAAAGGAATGATGCATATAACTTTCGCTCACATTTCATTGTCCAGAAAAATGCACCCAGGGACTAAGTTCCAGGAGACAAGAAAATGTAGCCTTTTTGTATGTTCAGAATAGAGCAAACTGAATATTGACAAAAATTAGTAATGTCTATTATAAAGGTAAATCAGATGTGCTATATGGCAAAAAGAGAAGAATCAAGGATGACAACTAAATTTTTGGCCTGAGCTGCTGAGTAAATTTTGGTGCATTTACTGAGATGAAGAGTATTGGTATAAGAGCATGTTTATATGAAAAATATAAAGAAGACAAGAATTGTGTTGCCATGCTACAGATAGTTAAGGTCTGAAATGATTTTAGATATCTAATGAAGATTTCATGTAGACAATTGGTTATTGGAGCCTAAAGCTCAGGAAAGAAGTAGGAAAGAAAGACCTGGTGAAATTGATCAGATTACCATAACTTTAACAGGTTTGGCCTCAGTTTGAGATTGCTTGCAAGAAAAAGGACTATGGTCAAAAGGAGAATGTGTTGTATCAGTGAACTACATTTTAAAAAAAGTCTAGAAATCCAAGGGCCAGAACTAGAGACGGGTCTCATGAATGATGGAATCCCAAACTATAAATCCAATGAGAACCTAGGTAGCTCATTTTCATTCTCTCCCACTCCATCTCTATGTCTCTCTCTCCCGTGTCTCTGTTTCATTATTATTATCATTTTGCATGTTATCTTTTATTCTCATTCACCTGTTTACACGTGGCCCCATTGTGACTGTGTGTGTCCATTCATGGGTCAATCAGCCCTACCTGGGGCAAGGCCTGGGTTCGATGGATAAGGTTGCATTTTCTGAAGCTCTTAGCTGGTCAGGTTCCCCAAAAATTTTCCTTTAAAAAACAAAAAGGAGGAATCTATGTAATGTGAGTCTCCCATCAGTGGTCATATTTTTCTTATTCAGCTGAGTTTATTATTCGACATTCACAAATTTCATGGTCTGTGACTGTCACTCCCCATAAATAATCGATGCTGTCATATAATTGATGAGCTTTTACATTTCGCCATTAACTTACTCTCCGATTTCTAAACCATCAGGAATGTGCACTTTTTCTTTTCCAACACAGTAGTTGATTTGCTTATGTTTAATTTCATAAATCACCGCCAGCTGGTGTGGCTGGATGCTTCCACACCCAGAGAGGTCTGACTGGAGTCCCAGTGGTCAGGAGGAAGAAAATCATATTCTGTTGCCCACCATCCACTTGTTTAATTTACCCAAAGTCAGAACTGCGAGGGCACAGCATACATTTAAGAGGACTCAGAAACCCTGGGGGAGGAACCCCGCTGCACACACAGCACAGTGGCTCAAACAATGGCAATTCTAGCAGAAAAGCTAAAGCAGCACTTCAACAACAACAAAAAAAAAAAAAAAAAAAAGAAGAAGAAGAAGAAGGAGAATTCTCAAAAGTCTGTAACTGAGGCACAAAAATGACTTAGAATTGGAAAACATAATGACTCTTAAGTTGAAAAATTTAAGAAAAAAAATAGAATATTCACTACTGATAACTGAATTATTGCTATGAGAAGATCAGATTGATGAATTATCTCACAACACAGAAGAGAAATACAGAGAAATGAAAATCATGACTGAAGAGGTAAGGTGGCAGAGAAGCCCAGGGATCAAACATAAGGCAGGCAGTGTCTGAAGATTATGCACTGGCATTTTCAGCTAAATTAAGTATTAAGAACTTCTGAGTTCAGAAAACCAAAAGAAAAGAATATCAGAGTTGGCAGTAAAAATTGACAGCAGGTAGCATGATACCCTTTCTCTAAGTGCACCATTTTTCTCAAGTAATAACTTTATTACAGAAATAGGTGAGCAAAATAAGAGACTGTTAT